TCACAGATTCTAGCCTACATCTTGGAATATATGACCCAAATAAGAATTTTCACTGTATATTGCCATCTGAACAAGTAAGTAACAAGTCTGCCACGTTTGTTCTGACCAACTGAGGAAAAAAGCATTATAATAAACCGCGCTACCAATAGTGATTTAAACTAAATTAGCTATCACATCAAATCGTGCAAATTATTATTATTGTTATACTTATTTCTCAAATGGTTAATGTTAACAACATCAGCATTGCGTGAGTATAGTGTGTATAAGAGAGTAGTTTCAATTTCTGTACAGTCTAATCTCTAATTGTCATACCACTCAAATTTCATATTTATAAGAACAAATTCTTTTAACCCAAAAAGCAAATTATGCTCCCTTCTAACTGGTTGTCTTTAAAATACAAATCTTGTGTAATCCCAGGCTATCTGTAATCAGAAGCACATTTAAAACTGGAATATAATATAATTTCATTCACATGTGTTTCATAAACACAGTCTTTTCTGGATTACAATCTGCCATCAAAATTATACATTTAATTATTCCAGCTGCTGTGAGAAAAGGCTATAAATTATCGGTCACCTGCAGGATCTTCACATGCTATAGCCTAGTAGCCGGGGCAACTTCTTTATGTTTACAGAAGTGACGTAATGATGCAGCGTCATGCTCGAATTTCCCGCGAAAACCTACCTGTACCACTCAAATTAGAAAACATTATTATAAGCTGACCATTGTGAATGGGGCTAAAGTAAGGCGATAGTTTCGAACACTGACTGGTTATGTACTTGCTCAAATATTGATTTCAGATAATTTTTAACCAAACAAAAGTTACGGACTGCAGCTTTAAGGATGGCGTCAATATTGCCATATCAAAATTTTCTGAAGACAGTCGGATTCCTTCAGAAATACAGTGATATAAAAACACCCACACAGGGTTTCGATTTTGAAACATGCAGTGCTCATGTTTATTCAACAAAGTCAAAGCCTTTTGGAAAATCTATTTGTGGCTATCGGTTTTGATATTGTGGCTGGCTCCACAAATAAATCAATGTATGAGAAACACTAGTCTCATAATTGAAGTGTAAATTCTGCAATTACATCATTGTCCAGTATTGTACTGTCAGCAATTTATAAAAACGTTTTCATTATTGTAACATACATATTTACATACATAATTATTCTGGTGCATGTGTAATAACTTGCAAAAACTTGATGCTACAGCAGCTCTTCTTCTTCGTCTTCTTGTCTGATGCACTCAATCAAGCATTCTAACCAGGACCTCGCACCTCCCCACCATTCGAATTTCCGAATGCGGGAATTATTTTAATGATATTCTAATGGACGCTTTGTGACATCACAAATCCGGAAAAGAACGCTGTAGTCCAAACGAGCCTTTCCGTTTCGTTCTTGAAAAGGAATTTTTTAAAAACGAAATATCTCCCTTTGGAGTGGACTTTGAGATTTGTATCTTTGTAGATCTTTTTTATGCCCAAACATACACACTACACACTGACTAAAATTCAAAAAGTGAAAAAGCATAATAGGATCCTTATATAATAAAACTACAAAATATATAGCCTAATATCCAGTGGGGACCAAAAGTCTGAGGTCAATGACAATCCGCAATTCAAAATGTCATTTAAATCTCTAAATATATTAAACAATTTAGAATTCTGAAATGCATTTTTGATACTGATCATATGAACTCTTGGGACAAAACTTACTATGAAATTCTGAAATTCATAAGAAAAATTTAACTTTTGAACCTCATTTAATATCTGAATGAAGTGAACTCACAGACACGCTGGCCCCTGGTAGCCTTTGATTCATGATAGGGGACAGAAAATGCCTCTTTATCCAGTGAAACCGTTAGAATGATGCCCACCATTTTCAGCACATTACCAATCTAGAGAGACGTGCACATACACACACACACACACACACACACACACACACAGGGTACAGATGAAATGAATGTGACAGAGTGAATTCATAAAGGTAAATGTGTGTCTCAGTTTGTGTATATTCTGGCAGCCGGTGTGTTTGGTCTCTCCTCTCAGAGCCAACACCAACAGAACAACTTAAACAAGAACAGCAGTTCATTCAGAAAAACCTGTAAAAGTGTAAATTACATAACATAGACACAACCTCCTCCCTCAGCTAGATATGGAAGTTTAAATACAGTCCGGTTGACAAGAGGGTTTCCCGTAAACGTATTTATTCCTAAACCAATGATGCTCACAATTATATAGAGTGGTTTAAGTGTCTATAAAAGCTTTATAATAATCTAACTCAAACTGGAACATTGATTTCTCATCCCCCCCCCCCCCCCCCCCCCCCAGATCATAACATGAAATTGTTTCTTAGTAGTCTATATATGTACTTAGTACATTTAGTATCTCTCACTATCTGTCTTATTTATTGGTTGCTAAATAAATATCAGCTTCAGATAAAGAGATGGCAAGTGCTGTACAACAAACATTGTGTTAAAAAGAACAGTCAATATTGAATCTCAATCTGTGGCTCAGTAACTGACTGTGACTTCTAAATGGCGCCAGCTTCCTGTAATGCACAAACTTCTCCATTAAGTATATGCACAACAAACTGCAACAAAATGGGCGTGCTGTCTTACCAGAGTACAAAACCTTAAAATATTTACTCTAGGAAGTATGAAAGTCCCGAATTACTGCAAGTGAATCCACCTGATATGATATACTAACAAACAATTACAAAGAGTGGATTGGAACAGGAAGGCAGTAAAGACTCTAATTGTAACTATATAAACACATTGCATACAGTGTCGGTATGTGGTTGTATATGTTTGCATGAAGTTGTTACCAGATATAAGACAGCAAATGAGATGGTCGCAGTGGTGACATGGCAGCAGAGGATGCGTGTTCCAGACATCTTTCTCTTTATGTCTCTTTCACAATGACACAAACAAGCTGAAACACTCAGAAACTGTCACATACATCCACCCCGTTACTGATGAACACACACGCACATGTAAGTTCCTGTGTGGTGGTCAGAGCTTCCTGTATACTTTCTGAGAAAATTATGATTATTTGTTATATTATCTTGATTTCTCAATTTCAGAGGGTATTTCAGTCTTTATGTAAAATTCTGTAAAAGGATAGATCACATTCTGATGCATCATAAACACAAGCCTACAAATAGATTAAATACTGCTGAGGAAATGAACACCACACATATTTATGGCCACACACACAACATCAGTCACTGAAACCACAGTTTTCTTTGACACTAATTTTAAAAACTGTCTAAGTGACTGTTAAAAAAAACATTTATTTATTATCATTTAATTTATTAATTATAGTATTTAATTGTACTGCACATGTAAGTTCCTGTGTGGTGGTCAGAGCTTCCTGTATACTTTCTGAGAAAATGATGATTATTTGTTATATTATCTTGATTTCTCAATTTCAGAGGGTATTTCAGTCTTTATGTAAAATTCTGTAAAAGGATAGATCACATTCTGATGCATCATAAACACAAGCCTACAAACAGATTAAATACTGCTGAGGAAATGAACACCACACATATTTATGGCCACACACACAACATCAGTCACTGAAACCACAGTTTTCTTTGACACTAATTTTAAAAACTGTCTAAGTGACTGTTAAAATTTTTTTTTATTTATTATCATTTAATTTATTAATTATAGTATTTAATTGTACTTTTTGCATGAACTATCCTTTAAACTTCCTTTTTGGTGACCACTGAATAAATAGTTCCTCATGAATTCCTCACTGAACATGACCTAAGTTTGCATTTCCAGTCATTTAATTTGCAAGCATTACGCGGTCAAACTAACAAGCAAACATGTCACAGACATTTACTTTTATCTCGCAACATTTCTCACCATATCTGAAACCAACCAGAGACAGGAAGTGGAAGGGAACTAGAGCATGCATTTGTGTGCATGTGTGAGGGTTATATTAACACTGCGGGGGTTTGTGGTGTAATGATCATGTTTATGGTATCTTTTCAAATTATTTTTGTGCAAATACATATTGAAAAAAAAAAAAATGAAGATCTGTCCTGCCCTTAATTAATTCCACTTGAGAGTAGCTGAGTAAAGCTATGGAGAAAGAGAATAAAAGTATGTAGTGATGAGAGCAACGAGGAGGTGAGCTGTGACAGACGAGGACTGAATGTTTCAATAAAACTTTCAAAAAGACCACAGAAGTGTGTTGTAGAGGATTGTGCAATCTCTGCAACTGAGATCAGTGCTCTTGTAAAACAGCGCCCCCTTGTGGCAAATGCTAGTCTGTTTTACAGGTGCTCTCACATACTTTCCTTTATCCTGTAATTAAATCAAAAGGACATAAACATAACATAAACTGAACGTAAAGGTTTATCCTGGGCCCTCCGATTCCTGTTTGTGTCACTGACTGTAGGTATGCATCAATCTAGTTTACTAGTCCACTAAATCTTGTGAAGATGCATAACAACAAACACAGAAAATCTTCAATGAAAGAGCATTTTAATAGCTCCTGCACAAAACAACAAAAAACAGAAGACAAACAAACAAAGAAAAGAACATTTGCAGATCTTCACAGTCAGTACCCTGAAATACAACACAGACATTTATCAGTAATATTAGGCAACAACACAAAAGGCAATATTCAAGAATCAAGACTAATTTAGACAAAATGTAATTAAATTATAATACATTAAATTGACTTACAATTCAATTTAAATTTATACAGTTTAAACAATGTGTTGTTTTATTATTACGAAGATACTATTATTAGTCTTAGTTATTAATATTTTAAAGTAGTTTTTATTTTTTTATTTTCCATTTTCATTTTTTAAAAAGTATTTATTATTATTTAGTTTGAGTTATTTTAGTTAACTAATAATGCTTTGGCATTTAGCTGAAATGTGTTTACGTGTTTTAATTAAGTTTTTTTATTATTATTATTTATTAAGTTTTAGTAAACTATAATAATCCCAATTCAACACAAATACAATATAAATACTTCCTGCACCTTGCAAGGAGAGATAAAATACATATATTTTTTAAAAATAATATGAACTATTTTATTAATTTTTCCAAATCTTTACATTTATTTTCTACTAAAATGTTCTACATTTATTTTACTCCTGTCAGCTCTGACACCAGTTTGAAAACTCCTGATGTAGTTCTCAAAAATGATAATTACTCATACAACACAGACATACAACATCTGTACATACAGACTCTCCATAAACATAGTATAAAAATCACCTGCTGTTGTTAAAAGTTGATCGGTGAGAAATCGCAATGAAAATTAGGCTCTGCCTCACTGCCTCTGATTGGCTGACATTTGCAGATCTTCACAGTCAGTACCCTGAAATACAACACAGACATTTATCAGTAATATTAGGCAACAACACAAAAGGCAATATTCAAGAATCAAGACTAATTTAGACAAAATGTAATTAAATTATAATACATTAAATTGACTTACAATTCAATTTAAATTTATACAGTTTAAACAATGTGTCGTTTTATTATTACGAAGATACTATTATTAGTCTTAGTTATTAATATTTTAAAGTAGTTTTTCATTTTTTAAAAAGTATTTATTATTATTTAGTTTGAGTTATTTTAGTTAACTAATAATGCTTTGGCATTTAGCTGAAATGTGTTTACGTGTTTTAATTAAGTTTTTTTATTATTATTATTTATTAAGTTTTAGTAAACTATAATAATCCCAATTCAACACAAATACAATATAAATACTTCCTGCACCTTGCAAGGAGAGATAAAATACATATATTTTTTTAAAATAATATGAACTATTTTATTAATTTTTCCAAATCTTTACATTTATTTTCTACTAAAATGTTCTACATTTATTTTACTCCTGTCAGCTCTGACACCAGTTTGAAAACTCCTGATGTAGTTCTCAAAAATGATAATTACTCATACAACACAGACATACAACATCTGTACATACAGACTCTCCATAAACATAGTATAAAAATCACCTGCTGTTGTTAAAAGTTGATCGGTGAGAAATCGCAATGAAAATTAGGCTCTGCCTCACTGCCTCTGATTGGCTGGCCATGGCCCATGTCTTCAGACTCTACTTTGACATTGGGCAGCAGGGGGTCAGTGGTGGGTTTGGGTAGGCTGGGCTGCGGCGGCGCTCCGTCGAGCTGAACGTAGTGCTGCTGGGGCAGGAGCTGGGAGTATTGGCTCTCGTGACCCTGTGATGATAACTGTGGCCGAAATACTGCCTGTGTATACTGACCCGACTGACCATACATGTCATTTGTCCAAGGGTAGGCCTGAAATGCTTCATATAAACATATAAGTTACTACTTTACAACTACTTAAAGATGTTTGTTTCCAAAGGTTTAATGTGGCTGGCTTACCATGAACTCCTGACTGTAGCAGCATCTGGTTGCCGGTTTGAGACTGGAGATACGCATGTCCGCTGCTGGTGTATGCAGGCAGAGTGCTGCTGCTCTCTGTGGGGTTGGGTGTAAGGTAAGGAGAGGGAGTGAGGTACGACAGGTGTGAGTACTGGGGCAATATTGTGCTGGACTGTTGGGACATAAGACAACTGGACTTTTGGGGTAACAGAGTGTTTGTTTGCTGAGGTAGGAGATTATTTGTCTGTTGAGGAAATGTGTTGAGCTGGAAATTTAGAGCGCTGTTCTGTGGAGCACACGTCATGTAGTCCAGCTTTACAGAGGTGCCCAAGCCGTCATAGTCAAACCTGTGAACAGCAAAAACACATTTGAGAAACTGTATCATGTGACATTAAACAATTTAGGTGATATTTGCAAACATCTGTAGTGTTGGGCCTTCACAGTGACAGCAGTTTGCAGTGACAAAGAACTAGAACAAATTCATTTTCAGTGACAGCTGGGTGATGTGCATGTGTCCAGCGATGTTGAAATAAGTTTAACATTATGCAAACAAGCAGTGAGGTGCGTTAAGTATAATAAAAATAATTTTAGTAATAATGATTTAAATTAAAATGAATATATGTCAATTCATATTATAATAATTTACATCTTTTTGTTGTTGTTGTTTTTTTAACAGCAGTATACTACTAAGATTTTCTTATGCTCGACAAGGGCCGCATTTACTTAAAAACTAACCGTAAATTGTGAAATATTATTACAATTTAAAATAACTTCCATGATGGCAAAGCTGAATTTTCAGCAGTCTTCAGTGTCACATGATCATACAGAAATCATTCTAATATGCTGATCTGGTGCTCAGGAAATTGAAAACAGTTGTGCAGCTTAATATTTTGATGTGTTCTTCTATTATTTTCTTTGATGAATAGAAAGTTCAAAAGAACAGCATTTATTTGAAATATTTTTTTTTTGTATAATATCCTTACTGTCACTTTTGATCAATTTCATGTAAAAATAAAACAAGAAAAAATCCTCACTGACCCCAAACTTTGTAACGGTAGCGTACATCCTATTTGCTGATTTGCTTTATATAACATTAGGAAGATCAGGCCCTTTCTTTCAGAACATGCAACACAACTCATTGTTCAAGCTCTTGTTCTGTCCAGGCTGGACTATTGCAATGCTCTCTTGGCAGGTCTTCCAGCCACTTCTATCAAACTTCTACAATTAATCCAAAATGCAGCTGCAAGATTAATCTTTAATGAACCGAAAAGAACGCATGTAACACCTCTGTTCATCAATTTGCACTGGCTACCAGTAGCTGCTCGCATTAAATTCAAGGCATTAATGTTTGCCTACAAAAATACCACTGGCTCTGCACCCATTTACCTAAAGTCATTACTTCAGAGTTATGTGCCCTCTAGAAGCTTGCGTTCTGCAAGTGAACGGCGTATTATTGTGCCATCTCAAAGAGACACAAAACCACTTTCACGGACTTTTAAATTAACTGTTCCCTCCTGGTGGAATGACCTGCCCAACTCAATCCGAGCAGCTGAGTCCTAGCCATCTTCAAGAATCGGCTAAAAACACATCTCTTCCATCTTTATTTGACCCTCTAACTCTAACACTTTCTATTCTATTTTAATTCTACTTTATCTATATTTATCTTTTATTTTTTTAATTCTTTATTTTAAAAAAACAAAACAAAAAAACATTTTTTTCTATTCTATCTACTTGTTTTTCTTTGTGTGTGTGTGTGTGTGTATATGTATAATATATATATATATATATACACACCTTGCTACGTGTACTGCGTTAGGCTAACCGAGACTTGTCATTTGCACTTATATATTGTTACTCTTTTGTTAGTTTTGACTGCTTTTATTGTCCTCATTTGTAAGTCGCTTTGGATAAAAGCGTCTGCTAAATGACTAAATGTGAAATGTAATGTAATGTATTTGTGATCAGACTGTCAAATTCTATGGCCAGTTATGCTGACTACTAAACATATCAAGCGTTCTGTGGCAGGAACACCTGCTACTGTAGTACAGACCTCCACCTCTGAAAATCACTATATAAGCTCTGTGCTGATGTCTAGTGGTTAACAAAGGAACTGCAGGAGATGAGTAACCTAGTTTCATACTAACCCCGTGTCAGTCTGCAAACTCAGCGGCGTTGTGTCTGCGGAGCTGGGCTCACTGTGTTCAGGTGTGTCCAGCAGCAGGGACACGGTGTGAGTAGGGGGGTTGTAAGCCGTGATAAGAGGCAAGGAAGCACGCCGTATCGGAGGAGGACTGTGCATAGGAGGGGGCATGTACTCCAAAAAGCCTCCTTCAGACACACAAGGTGCCACATCAACACAAGCTGGACCTGAACACAGAAAATTGCATTTGTTTAAAAAACAGGTGTCCATGTTTTGAATGCGTCGGCATTTTCAATTCAAATTAAATAGTTTAATGAAATGGCTTAAATCCTATAGTCCTTAGGTTAACTAAACGGTCTAATCCAAGCGGCAACCTCCCGCTCTCTCTCCTGAAGCCAACAAGGAAGTGACTTAAACTGTAATTCGTCAACTGGCCGCTAGAGGCTGGCTGCAAAAGGGAGTCAATCCCATAGACTCCCCATGTTAAAATGCCTAACTTTACAGCAGAAAAAACCATGTTTACGGCCTGGTTCAAAAAATTATTTTGGTCTATATAGCTAATTTTGCCCTTCATGACAACTGTGAGGGGGGTGAAGTTTTTTTATTTGTCACCACCATCGAGCTAGGTGGGCGTGGTTTCAACAACCAGCTCCCGCCTCTTTGCCCATCTTCGGTTATCCGGGAGTGACTCGCGGTGACACACTGCCAAGATGCCGCCCACTTTTGAGCTTCAAAAACTCTCTTCGGAACCCTACGGGTGATGTCACGGACACTACATCCATGTTTTTATACAGTCTATGGTTTAATCCCTGATGCATAATTAAATTAAATAGCTTAGGCCCTAAAATATAGCTTCATTAAACTGTTTAGGTGTATGTCTGAAAATGTGACCTGGTGGACTGATGCAGCTGGTCCGGATGGTACTGTAGGGATGAAGTGTGTTTCCAGGCTTGGCATGTTGAGATGTAACAGCTGGAGCTGTGAAAACTGGTGGCCTGCACACACACAAAAGAACTGTATAAGTGATTATATGCATTGCATCACATAGTATGTTAGCTGCATTGCATCAGTGGGGTCACTTACCTGTTGACTTGGACACAAGGTTGACCTTGACTAGCAGGAGGCTTTTTTGCTGTGGCTTTTGCTGTTTTTCTCCACTTGGCTCGACGGTTCTGAAACCACACCTGATGTGAGGATCAGAGTACAATTATTTATACTTGCATGCATTTAGATTCATTTAATGTGATCCTAAGGAAGAGATGCAAGTGAACAATGACCATGATTCTCTGGGGCGTAACACCGATGGAGGCAGCGATCTCCTTTCTCTTGTCTCCGTCAGGGTAGTGATCGTCCTGAAACACACGCTCCAGCTCCTCCAACTGATCTATATACATCAGTGTTAAAAACAGTTTTTGCTGCTTCACATTTTTTTTGTGGAAACTTATACAGTACCATTTAAATGTAATAATAATTACAACAAGGCTGCATTAAATTGATCAAAAGTATCAGTAAAGACATATTTAAAGATACAAAATATTTATTTTATATAACTTTCCATTTATCAAAGAATCATGACATTAAAAAAATATGAAGCAGCAAAACTGTTTTCAACACTGATAAAAAATAATAATAAATGTTTCTTTATAACCAAATTAGCATATTAGAATGATTTCTGAAGGATGTGACTCTGAAGACTGGAGTAATGGCTGCTGAAAATTCAGCTTTGCCGTCACAGAAATAAATTTCATTTTAAAATGTATTAAAATAGAAAACATTTTCCATTTTCTAACATTTTCTTCACAACAATTGAATTGTAATACTATTTCACAATATTATCACTATATTTTTGATTAAATAAATGCAGCTTTGGTGAGCATAAAAGACTTCTTTGAAAAACATACAAAAAATCATTCCAAATTGATATATATATATATATATTTGTTTTTTTAAAGTTTATAAAATGTGAGTTTATTGATAGACACATATTACAGATGGTCCATATCCATAATTGCACATTATACACATATATATATATATATATATATATATTTTTTTTTTTTTTTGACCATACAATGAAAGTTAGTAGGGGTCCAAAACAACACTGGATCCCATTGACTTACATTGCAAGATATTAATATATCTTTATTAATATAAGATATTAATATAAGATATTCAAATATATTCTATTGTGTTTCCGCAGAAGAAAGTAAGTTTTACAGATTTAAAATTACATGAAAGTGAATAACCGATAAGAACATTTTAATTTCTGGGTGAACTATGCCTTTAATATGTACGTTCTCTCACCGGTGCTGTAGAAGGTGCGAGTTTTCTTCTTTGGAGGCATTAGAGGAGCATCCATGCTGATGGAGGGTAAAGCCTGACTGCTGGTTTCTCCACCAACTGAGGCCAGAGGTATAAAAGGGGCCACTCTGCTGGCGAAACGGGTGTAGCGGCGAGTGCTGTACACCTGCCGCAGCGTCACCTCCAGCTGTCCTGTGGGTACATCGGTCCTGCTTCTATAGGGCCGTTTGCCCAAGCATGGGACCTCCAGCTGGGCCTGTGGTGGGAGGTGAGGTTGAAGTAGAGACTGGGGCTGAAAGGGAAGTACTGTGGTATTTTGAGGGGGTAATGTGATAGATAACGGTCTGGGCTGCTGGGGGAGATCTGAAGATTTGGGGGGGCATAACAAAAGGTCTTCATTCAAACATCTCTCCACCGACTGATCACACACCATCACCAGGTCTATGGTGCAGTCTGGGCCCATCTGCAAAAAACAGTCATCCTCCAGAGGGGGCACCAGCAAGTCGCTTGCCTCTGCATCATCATCAACTGTCTCGGTTTCATCATTTTTGAAACCTAATGTACTTTCCTGCTCATCTTTGTTATATTTTTCATCCGTTTCTACATTATCTACTTTCCTGTTTGTCTCTTCGTCATCTTCTGTGCCTTTTTCATTTTTCTGTGTGACATCTTCAGTTTTGTTTTCTTCCTTGTCCGTCTCTATTTTCCTATCTTCAGGTTCTTTACCTACTGTCCAATTCTCCTCAGTTAATTTCTCTAGTTTCACCTCAGCGTCCCTCTTGAACTCCTGTGACTCCTTGTCTTCCACCTCTTCTCCATCACTGTTTTTTTCTCTCTCATTCTCTTGCTCGGTGTTTCTGTATCTACAATACCCTCTCTGCTCATCCTCTTCACACAGAGGACATGGACCATCTGTAAATATGACAATGGCATGAAAAAAAACAATATTTATCTAGAAAAGAACGCTTGTAATGTTAACAAGCAAACTCGCAATGAATGAAATCTCCTTCAATTCAGAACTGATTCAGCATCCTGTCATAGAAAGGTGCATTATTATCTGCCTGGCATATACAGGTGCATCTCAATAAATTAGAATGTCGTGGAAAAGTTCATTTATTTCAGTAATTCAACTCAAATTGTGAAACAGTGTGGGCAGGTGCCAAGTCCTGCTGGAAAATGAAATCAGCATCTCCATAAAGCTTGTCAGCAGAAGGAAGCATGAAGTGCTCTAAAATTTCCTGGTAGATGGCTGCGTTGACTGTGGACTTCAGAAAACACAGTGGACCAACACCAGCAGATGACATGGCAGCCCAAATCATCCCTGACTGTGGAAACTTCACACTGGACTTCAAGCAACATGGTTTCTGTGCCTCTCCACTCTTCCTCCAGACTCTGGGACCTTGAATTCCAAATGAAATGCAAAATTTACTTTCATCCGAAAAGAGGACTTTGGTCCACTGTGTTTTCTGAAGTCCACAGTCAACGCAGCCATCTACCAGGAAATTTTAGAGCACTTCATGCTTCCTTCTGCTGACAAGCTTTATGGAGATGCTGATTTCATTTTCCAGCAGGACTTGGCACCTGCCCACACTGCCAAAAGCACCAAAAGCTGGTTCAATAACGCAGACTTTGATTCCAAAGGGCCAGTTCACCTAAAATATTATCATTTACTCACCCTCATGTTGTTTCAAACCTGTCTGACTTTATTTAGTTAAAGTATTTAACACAAATTTAGTAAAGTAACACAAAAGTTACTTTAACAAATGTTGGTAACCACACTGTTTTGGTTACCCCTGACCTCCATTGTACAGGCCAAAGAAGAAATATATATATATTTTTAATGTTCCTCAAAGGAAAGTCTAATGGGTTTGGAACGAGATGAGGTGAGTAAATAATGACAGAATTTTCATTTTTGGGCAAAATATCCCTTTAACTTGGAGACATGGCTCGCCTTTCATGAAATAAACTCTTATTTTCTAGATTTAACTTCATATTACATGTTTTCAGTCATTACAGTTCATAACTCTTAAAATGTAAAACTGTAAAAACAATTTAAAATAGCAAACTATCTTTATGCGTTAAATTCTACAGCTTTTCAAAGAACGTGAACAATTTTTAAAAAAAAATGTGGGGTGGGAACAATACAAATATTATTGCCAGAGATTTACCATCTAATTAATGTTGTAAACATTACTTAAAGGTGTGAAACGTGACGCTTTCTTCACTTGCGTATTTACCGCTAATTAGAGAATAAATTGAACCTCCGCCCTGAGTATCAAACCATTAGACCTGTTATCCGTGTAGAAATTAGACCAATTAGACAATTATCGGTGTCAAAAACAATGGATCAATCAACTAATTTACAACAAATCACCCACCGTAATCACTGGCAAACAAGGCATCTTCAGCCATCGTGTTGCTCACACGCACAGACCTCTATCCGTAAACTATATATTAAAGTGATTGAGCTTGAGTGAAGCACAAACTCTAGCCTGAGTATTGATTGATCACCTGCAGACGCTGCTCAGGTTACATCACGTGACATGCACACCAGGAGTGTTTCCGTCAGGTTCAGTGTCACACTGTTGCAATCATGCGCGCTTGACCTTTAGTAATATTCATGTAATTTCACTCGTCTTGAACAGGGTTGTATTCAACAATATCTGTCCTCGTAAGCACTGTGGTAGACTTAAATGTTATATTTTCATTGTTTGTAGATTAAATGATATTGAAAAAAACGGTCTATGTATATGCCTATAATCATAAGGACTGATATGCGGTTTGTATATATATATATATATATACACATTTGATTAGTTATTGACTGCAACAACAAAAACGTCTTCATTTTAAATTAATTGACTAATTTGACCTTATTTTTCTTTGTGAAATTAATTTATGGGTCAAACTTAATTTAATTCTGGAGCACACATATTTTGCTTTCATATAGCCTACACTTTATATTAGATCACAAGGGTTCAGTTCAAAGAATAAAAATCTGGAGTTCACAAACAAGCTAAAAACTTGATCTGCAGCTATCCGGTGTTATTTTAGTATCATTGAGGTACTATTGGTTTTTATTAATATTTTTCATTTTCATGTTAATTCTAATTATTTTTAAAATGTCTATAGGCTTGTTTTTTTAGTATTTATTTTAGTTCAAGTTAATCTAAATAAAGATTTGAAATCTTGATTTGTTCACTAGTTAACTAGTTTTAGTTAACCCTGTTCCAAATTCAGTGAGTGGTATTAAGTCCACCCATCCTCTCAAACGTTTATTTTGATTTTTTTTTAAATACATTTTACCTTTGTGTAAAACTCCTGGTAGCCTGATCAATTAATGATGGTGATGTTAAAATTGTTGCTTCTCATACATGAGAGCAAATTAACTTAAGTCAAGCACATTGCATAGTAGGATGCAGAATTCTAAATACTTAGTATGCATACTACAAGAATAGTATAGTAAGCTACTATGTTATTCTACCATAGCCAGCTTCAGGCTTTTAACCAATTAAATCACAGCAGATACAGAGATAACCAATCAGGTTTTATTTAGAATAGAGTGGCATACTAGTGACAGAACTTTGCCTCTTTATACACAGATCAACCAATGAGAAAAAAAAGAAAAACAAAAGTTCTTTAAAAAAATGTGCATGTATAAAACCACACTGGGCGACCATCAGACCAGGACCATGCTGGTCTGTGATTGGCACACAGACACAGGAAGGCCCGCCTCATATTTGGCTATGAATAGAAAGAGTGACAGGTTACAGGTAGAAATGAGTAGAAAAGACCGCAATGCAAACTCAAAGTTCCACTGACGTCCATAACATTAACACACAGTGACCTCCAGATGCTCCAGAATGGACAGGCGCATGTTTGTTGTTGGGAGGTGGGGGCTTCACAAGGACATGTGAATGTGTTGCTCACAAGATTAGATTGTAGGAGTGGTGGGGTGAACGCTGTGAAAGATCAAAATATTAAACCTCCAGCACCAACAGCTTGTTTTGTACAAAAAATGTTAAACAATCATCACGTCTTAATACCTGAATTTCACATACTAATTGTAGGCTTGCAACTATTTGTTTAGCATGTAAGCAATTGATTAACATTATTCATGTCAATATTCCAATTAGACACTAATGATTGCTGAGGTTTTGAGCATTGATTGTTAAAGCCAGTCTCTTAGACACAACTGAAGACAAATCCTGAACTAATAGATACATTTTTTGTAATGAAGGTTATTGTGTTTCACTTTTTAATTGTCATTTAAAATAATTAAGCAAAAACATAAGTATTATCATTATTTTCTCAGTAATTACAAATAATAATAATTGCATTATTTTTTTGCAATATATTTATAACTTTCTCTGTGTTTAGTTGTTGTAGAGCAGTTGCAAATTCATTTCTATCTTTGTTTGGTCTATATGGTCTAAGTCTCAAGGTTAAAATGCTTAATGTTTCTCATTGTTTCACGTAAAAAGTGACATAATTATGCAAACATTTACAAGTCTTTATTTTACATGTGAACATATAGTGGTGTAATGGCATCGCTGCTATTCTTTAGACATCTACTAGATGGTGTACTTATTCAGTAGACTGAATATTACAGAACAGACAGCCAAGTAGAAAATGTGAATATTGGTAAAAGAAACCCCCAAATATCGGTCAAACCGATTATCGGTCTGTAACTTTTATTCAGTGTCCAGGAGACTGGCCCTTACTATAGTAATTTAATTAAAAGTGTGCTGTGATGGGTCAGAAATCACTCTATGTCCTATTTACAAGGCTGAGGCTGTGATGCTATGTAACATGTTTTGTGTGTTTGTGCAATTGTCAGTATCACAAAGCAATTTAAGTGCAGGGAGAGGAGAATATGTCCCCACAACGGAAGAACTATAGGGGAGTGAAACACACTTGCAGATGCATTAAAACAAGCCAATATTCACATATACATACGCACACACACTGTCAGGACATGATCATACAGAGTACAATATTCAAGCTACTGGTACTGTTGCAGAGGTGTGACATTACAATCATAGACTGAAGTACAACTGAAGTATGGGTCTCAAGATCTCCCCACCTTCCTAAAATATTCCATTGAGAACAGTGTGGCATCTTGAATGTGCTCTAGTAGACACACTCAGTTGAATATGCTTGAGTGTAAAAAATCATGACCATGCATTCTAAACGCATGATTTGTGATATAACAGGACGCGTTATTTGATGTAACGTTTCAGTGTTATGGCAGCTTTACCCTCAGCAATATGTTTATAAACGGGGATGGGTATAATTCTCCATTACTATGGATATAAAAAGGAAATTTCAGGGACGGAGTGCTGATACTGTGCACAAACCGTCCAAGATTGGATATAGTACATTTACATGATCAGATATTTAAAATGATATGTGTTAAGACAAGTTGTCATCATTTCAGCGTTTTGCTAACATCTTGTGCTACAGCTGCGAGTCACACCACATGACATGTCACATACATTCTGAGCATGTCAACCACAGAGACTGTTGTTGATAGCTTGTTATTGCTAATTCATGCATTTCTAGTCATTTATGAATTAAATGTATCCTGACACGAACATCAAATAAAACACAATAACAGGAAAAGTGACAGTAATTTTGACTATCACTAAAATCGCACTACTTAAAGGCTTTCAGCTCAGATATCTTTATGTCAGACGAGCTATTTTTCTCCCAAACCATTAGGTTTACGTTCACCAACCCCCTAATCGCACAAGTTCCTCATCAACACGTTCCTACAACATCTGTCTTGAGCATGACCGTCCATCAGGGTTGTTTGTGTGGCATGTATGCGAGTGGAAATTTCTCCAATTGTGAGTGAATGTGGCGGTGAGAGAAACTAACCTTGTGCTTTCAAAACAAAAACCGGACGCTTGACTAATGACTGGTGAAATACTAATAAACCTGAGCAAAGGTTTCAGCATTTCTCCAGGTTAAACGGACAAAAACTGGATAACGATAGCATATGTGTCTGTGTGTATTTATTTTTTTAATACAATAGCATGGTTAAAAGCTTGACAAAAATAAAAAGTTGTGTTGATATTTACACCGATAAAACCTTACTGCACAGCTAAATAGATAATATCCTTCACTACGAATATTATGATCACCATTTTCCTTCCTTTCAGAGCTGCTGATATATTATTGATTATTACTAATGATTACTAAAGTCTTTATACAGAGCAGAGGAGAGGCTATTCCTCTGATTCTATGCATGCGCTTCCTCACAGCAAACCTTCAGTGTTTTTAATGTGCTGTGTACCTATTTCGGGCTCCCTGCTCCAAGTCGTGCTGATATACGCTCTCACCAGCAGAGGGAGTCGGGCCGAGTGTGTGCACCTGTGTGTGTGTGTGTGAGTCTAGGCTGGGGTCACAAGGGCACCTTAGACATACAATCGCACACATATGCACAAGCACACACACACACACAAACGCTCGCTCTGCTTGAGCTCTGTTTCTAGCACCAGGGAAATGGAAGGCACCACACAACGTTGGATCTATGACCTTGGTGACAGAAGAGCATTTCGAGTACAGACTCCAAATTCCTCCTCTATTTCTGCCATGCAACTCCTATTTCTGCTCCTTTTGCTTCATCTCGCTTGACTTTCACAATCCCTCCATGACCCCAACAGTGTTCTTTTCTTCTCCCTCATTTTTCATGCTGTTTTTTTTTTTTTGCTCCCATAATATTGTGCAGGAAACACATCTGAAACGCAGTGTCTTTACAAAAAAAGATTCAGGTCATAATTTCATAGAACAACGATCCTAAACATATCAATAATAACATGTTCTTAAAAAAGTTTTTTTCTTCTCTGTGTATGTGTAGACTCATGTCCCACCCTCTCTGGCACCGCCCCCACCCAAGCCCCACCCACGACAATTCCATTGTTTTCTACATTGATCTTTTTCAGTTGTATTTTTTTTTTTTTTGGAAAAGAAAGTTCCGAGTCTGTGGAATGAGAGGCGCTCTCATGGGGAAATGAGGGAAGAAAGGGATCAAAGGAAAAGGGGTGAGATGAAAAGAAGAAAGGGGGGGTCAGATAGAGACGGGACAAGGTTGGAGAGATGAACGAGGATGAACGTATGGATGTTAGGCGTAGAATTCTTCCTGCTTGTCCGGTTTCTGGTAGGTGACAGTGGCTTGTTTAGGCTCCTCCAATGTATAGCTGCCTTCATCTTTCTTTTTCATCCGGTAGATGAGTAACATTACGAGGAATGCTGCGAAGAGTGCTCCGACTACACCTCCGACAATCACCGCTGGAGAAATAACAAGAGACATTGATTAATTACAGCATTTCAAATTCAAATCATTATGAACACTTCAACAACAATTATGTTCTCTCCCACCATCCATAAATGTGCAAATGTCAATGAAAAAAAAAATGAATTACATTTTTTTTTTTAAAATCAAGTCCTATCTTTTCATATGGTTTTGGGGGTGAAAATAATAATAAATGGCTATTTATAATATTTTAACAAAAGTATTATAAAAAAGTATA